CTAAACATCTTCCCAAAGTTTCATCACGATTGGTTGAGCGATGTAGAAGATTATCACTGACGAACGGACGGACGGACGGACGGACCAACGCGGACCAACAAACATCCATTTTTATATATATAGATAAGCCTTTTAACCCTCTTCTCTTTGAAGGGTCACTTTCTACGGATTCCACGCTATTTCTAAGGAGAAGAAACTAATACTTTGAACATATTTGTAAAATATAATAGAATTAATATATGTCTAAGTATTTCAAAAGAAAACCTATTTAATAACCGGTAATAAATGAATATTGCAACATAGCCTTATTATATTTAACCTTTTATACCCTTAAGGCTTTCTTAAAGAAAGAGAATTAATTTAAAATATGTTTCTTTATATAAAACAAAGATAAACAATTTCTTATTTTAATGAAAGTGCAATACTCTATGAAAAGAAAACCTTTTCAGAGTATCTACAATGCAATATAATGGAGTGTAATTTAATAAACAAAAAATCCACTTTTTAAAATAGTGTTTGCTTATTTCAATTTTATACAGCGTGGGTTTTAATATTTTTTGCCACATTAAAATATATCAAATTGTTGATATTTTAGGATGATACAAGAAATATTTGAGTACGACAATTAAATTCTCGTATATTTAAAATAATGCCATACCGTAATAGAATCATGCAAATTATTTAAAACTCACAGAATCCACAAAGCAGCCTATAAAATATAAAGTTTGAAATGACAAAGCGTTAGCATAAATGCATGCTGAGTAGTGGGCTCTTTTTTTTTGCCATAAAATAAGCGTGTTAAAAAATAATGTGGCGTTGCGCATTAATCTTATATTTTTTTCTGGAAGTGCCAAACCGTTCATGAAATATTCCTTTGTGAAGGATCCAACGAACATAAAACAAAAGACACCTGATATTTCAATGAACTCATCAATACGGACAGTGGATCCCACAATAAATACAATGTCAAAAGGGTTTTTGAATTTCGCTTCAATTTCGGAATAAAACGATGGCCTAGTTCGTGTTATATGCATAGGGGGACCACTACAATCCTAAGTGCAATGTGCAGCATCATAGCGGGTAGAGGCCTCGCATCATAGTCTGTGGTGCAATATTGCATATTATAGACGAACTCGATTACTTTGAATTGCAGGTATTTTCAACAACAACCGCGACATTAAGGGCGGAATACTTATAGAGCGTGACATCGCACTCTTTTTTTACCTGACTCATGGATCCGATTTTCATCCGGCAATTCCCGTTCATAGGTTGCAGAGGAGGTTTAAATCTTCTTCTCTGAAAGTCACAGATGCCACTTTTTCTATAACATTACAAACCATCTTACATGTCCTCATTAGATATGTCTGGGATTGTATCGGTCGGCAATTCATTTGTCACGCTTGTTCAGTATGCCTGCACTAACGCCCTTTGGGATCGGCCAGAATCTATCTAGAAGCGATCTTCCTCAGTAAATCCACGTTGCCTTTATCTTCAAGATAAAGGCCATGAAAATCATTGTGTATAGGAGTTGACGACTACTTTTACTGTAAGTGCAGAGCATGTCTACATAATATCTACACGTGTGATTACTTGAAGTGCTTTGGTGGAATTGGATCTTTGATAGAATCAGGAACCATTGGAGCAATTTTAAACCAGTAAAAAGGTTCCCAGTGCGGGATTCGATCCTGGGTTGTCGCTGTCGAATATCGACGATTTATGAATTTCATCCACCGAGAGAGAAAATGACGACAAAGGGAGATTTAAAGTCCAATCATGTCGTTCGAATAATCCGAAGAGCAAACCCTTTCTCCCTGAATTAATGGCTGAACGCCGTTGGTATAACATTCTTTATTGGAAGTCGGTTAATTATTCGTTTCGAAAGATTCGTTTCAGGTTTTATGTTTAAAATAAAAATTAAATATTTCCTCGTTTTACGTAATATAGGTATCCGATTCCTTATTATATATTCTCAAATGAAAAACCATTTATTATTGATTTTTAATTCAAAAATTATTTAGTTGGTGCTCACACATATAGGTTTTACGATTATTTTTTCAACAAAGCGTTTTTCAAATAATCATTTCGGAGCATATTTACCATCAACTTTGATTACTGATCCGATGAATTATTGTAACGTCGTACCCAGACACTGTTCGTGTTCTTTGTCTAATCAGAATGCCACAAAGATACACATGTGAGTTCGAAAGGATGCAGCTAAAGTAAGTGCTTTATTATATCTCACTTAACAGAAGGAATACAATACTTACCCCAACTTTACTCTGGAATCTTGGTCTTGTCATCCATTTTACAATATGATAAATGAGGGTAGAATGGTCCATATTGAAGTGCTTGTCCAACATTCTCGTTGTCAAGCTTTTATTTTCATCTCTTCTTCTTCTTTCTTATCTTCACACTGGATGAAGTAGAATGCGTCTGCCTTTGTCATTAAGACTGGGAGCACTACTCAGTGGCAGGCCAACTTAGCTCCAAAAGAAATGGCCGCCTCTAACATGAGGAACAGACGCCATGTGCAGCCGCTCCTAACATGGAGTACAAACGCTGCTCATCCTGTATCCCTAGATCAGGAGCCCTTACAGGGTACTATCAGCTGGGCCAGCTGAACCCAGATTTTTTACCGAGCTTGTTACTGCTCCCCTTCCTCCTTTTTCATCCGGGCTTGGGACCGGCAAAGGCGGAGTTGTTTCGTTTTCTTCTTACGTCTAGTCTAAGTGGTATTTTCAGAATAATACAACTTGCTAACTGGTGCGCTCATAGTTACAAAAAATCGCTGCATCCTCTAACGCTGAAATTTTAGTGTACCGAATACAGTCTAGAGGTATAAGGGTTATTTAAATAACAGACTACACCTTGTTTATAACTTTAATAACAACGTGTAGTTTCAATACTAACCTCCCGCTCAAATTATTCTATTTTACTAAGAAATTACATCAATTTATCTTTAATATTCTTCTAATTTTGTTTAAAAAAACTTTATAGAGACATAGGGACACCAATGCATAGAAATATAAAAGCGAAGTCTGATGTCTTTAAACACCTTCATTTGGCATGATATTACAAACATTTCATAACATTTCAAAATTATATGAAATTTTACCTGCGTGGTGTGATTCAATTCCAATCTTGTGGAGCATATTATTGTGGGTACATAATTTTGAAGGACATAGATATAAATAAAAACTAAATGATTCACAAATTTTCCATAATCCATTATTATATTGTAGCGTAGTAAAGCAGAAAAAATCAATGGTTAGGTAAAATAAAAGATACCTATTGGTGACGTCAGAACGGCTAGCCACTAAATATTGCTAAACCCATTAATTACATTGCAATAATGCAACATTTCAATCTGTTTATAAATAATTGTGAGGGGCTTAATCAAATAATAAATATACAATTATATATTTCGTTATAGAATTTTTATAATTCGATATACACCTATCCCCCGATTTACACGGTAGATACGTTCCTGAGAAAAACGTGTAAATCGGGGGATAGGTGTACACTCATGATTCCTCGTGAGATGTGTACACAGCGCATGTGTTCAATCACAGTAGCATTTAGTATAGTGCGATAAAAACAACAAAAAAAAACTTCTTTGGAAAACCGTGTAAAAGCGAAAACGTGTGAAAAAGTACCGTGTAAAACGGAGGATAGGTGTATTTTTTAAAATCATAAATAATATGATCGTATATTTTCTCTTCCATTTTCATTATGCTTTATTAATTCTTCTTTTTCTAAATCTAACAAAATATTATTATAATGAAAAATAATAAACTACAAAAATATATACATTTAAGGAGAGAGAGTCAATAGATTTATTTATCAGAGTTTTATATATAGATAAATAGGACTGTGAGGTTTCTTAGAATGTTCAATCAATTTGCGGGAAAGCCAAGCTCGTATTATTTCTTCATAGCGACACAGTTCCGAGAATTGTAATTAATTTTAGCGCCAACTCATCCGTGAAAAAATTCGCACACGTGGGTTTAAACTTTCAATATATATATATTTGAAGATTTGGCAATCCATAATTAAAATTATATTTAAAAAAGATGCATATATTGGATTTCTAATTATTTTATTGTTCCAATATTTCGAGGGGCAACTCGCCTCTCTTTATCGAAGATGTTTGTGTTTTTCAATTACAAAATTCCCTGCCAAACATGTCAAGCTACATAAATTGGAGAAACAGGTAAATAGCTTAAAGATCGTATCAATCAGCATAAAGCAGCTTTAAAAAACTACAAACCATTATCCCTACTAGTAGACCACTCCCTAAACAATAGCCATGTACCAGATTTCAAACAGGCATCAATTATATACAAAAATATAACAGAAAAGCATTGTAGACTGTTTTTAGAAAGTTGGGCTTCAGCTTAAGATAAACAGAGTATAAACAGAAAAATTGATTTTCCAGAAATTTATAAATAATTCATATCTTAATTATTGTAAATAACTATGTATATACTTTTAATTTACTCATTTATTTTGCTTTCAATTTTTTTATTAATTTAGAATTAATATGTATACACACAATTATTTACAATTACACTGTCGTATATAAATCTCTCTATCTTTCATAGATAAAATAATAATCTATAATATTAAATATAATTATTTGCTGTATATATACTGAATACAATAGTTAAATCAAAGATACAATTCTTTCATTGGCCTTGTAGAACGAGAGTGGTGTACGCGTGCGCGCATGTTCTAGTGAAAAACACAAACATCCTCGATAAAGAGAGGCGAGTTGCCCCTCGAAATATTGGAACAATAAAATAATTAGAAATCCAATATATGCATCTTTTTTAAATATATATATTATAAAACGACACTTGAAGTTACACCGCATGAGTTTCTTTTTAACGAAAAATCAAAATTTCATTTCAAGGTGAAATATCGACTATTTCTAACCTTTTTGGATGAGGTATGAAAGGATGAATTATGAAGAGTAATGACGAACGGAAAAATAAAAGTGTCCAGGGATGGGAATCGAACCCACAATGTTCCGCTTACCGGGCAGATGCCATGTCCACTAGGTTACCCTGGGCATACGTCATGCGGTGTAGCTTCAAGTGTCGTTTTACAATCACAGGCCGCAGTGTATTATATTATATATATATATTATAATGACACATTTGTTTGATATACAATTTGCTTAGGTTGTTTAAGGAAACATGAGTATGTTTGTGATACTGCAGTATTTTATGATATTGATTATTGCAGTCGTGGTAAAAATAATAAAATAAAATTTGAAACACAATTTTCTTTAATTGTACTGATAGATATAATAAATAAAGAAATACCTGATTTGAGGATTAAAGAATAAAATAAAATTACATATTTACATATGTACAAAAAGATTTGAGCCGGCCAACGGGAAAACAACAATACGTTTATATAGGGAAAGTCGCGACATCTGGCGGTACACTTAACAGAGTAGTTTTTCTTAAAAATTATAATCTTAAAATGAAATACATTTTTATATAATAAATATATGTTCATAATCATAAATAAAAGTAATTTAAATTATTCTTGTAGATTATGAGCATTGAAAAATAGAAGATATTACTATTATATATATTAATATATACTATTGGAAAACGTGAAATATTTATTATGAGATAAACAAAAGTGTCAGATTATTCTATTTGTTTGCATCACTTTAGTAGAAGATAGGATAAATATAACAACGCTTTTTTTAAAATTCAAAATGGATATATTTTATTGAAATCGTTCGAATATTCATATTGAAATTCGACGTTTTATTTATAAATTTGAATGTCTATTTTGGAATAAAATATCTGACATATTTGATATGTAAAATATTTATATTTCCATATATCAGCTGAAAAATATTTTAGAACAAAATACGAGAGAGAGAGAGAGAGAGAGTCAATATATATGGCATAGAATTCGTAGAACTCAGAGGTTCTATTTTGGAGTGTAATCGGATAAATATTTCCCCCAAAGTTATGTGGGAGACATCCGTGAAATCACACACACACAAAGCTTTATTAAGACCACCGGTCTTATACAGATTCACCGCAGGAAGAAAGGAATCATAGATGGAACTCCTGTACTCTAGGCAGCGCAGCACCCAACCATAACCTTGTATTCTTAAGTATTTTAACTTCCGAACATCACATTTAGCGTGAAACTCCACCTTTGCCGGTCCCAACCCCGAATGAAAAAGAAGAAGGGAGAGCAGTAACAAGCTTGCTAAAAATACTGGGCTCACCTGGCCCTGCTGATAGTACTCTGTGAGGGCTCCTGATCCAGGAAAACAGGATGAGTCTGTACTCCATGTTCTCCGACGCATGTCCAATGTCCACACGTTCCTTCGTGCATACGTCATGGTTAGCGAATCATTGAACAGGTTAGTGTGGAGCATCCGTGAAATCGCATATTATTTTATAAAATGATATTTATTGTGATACCTTACCATATGCAAGTGAAATTTCCTTATGGCTTGCGCCATCTGTGGGAATAAATATCAACTCATCGTTAAAATCTTTTGAACTTTCCAGAATATTGGACGAATTTACTTTCTTGAAAGATTAAGTAAAGCCAACCGCGTTACAATCTGTAGACCTTCGTTCTCGTAGTGCAGGCTGTGCCTCTCTAAACGTCCACTTATATTATTTGCGGAAGAGCATTGCTCAATACGAATATTTATACATAATTCTACTGTCCTAAAAGCTTATGCCCATAGTTTTCTTGAATACCATTTCTAAGATTCTACCCTTCAGTGTTGTATATAAAGGCAGAATTATCCAATACATTATTAGAGCACTAAAGAAGCGGTCTGGTAGATTATATTGGCAAGACCGCTGGGTGGATTCACCAATGATGAGCCAAGCCTCCCCCCAATTATAATTTACATCGCAGTAAGTACAGTAGAAGTTTGATTTATTTGTGAAAAGAAACATTCCCATTTTGGTGTTTCTATTTGTATTATATAGATGGCGTGTTATTGCTGTGTATTAACTTATATTATTGTCATTCTGAAAAGTAGTCTGGATGATAGATGGCGTCTAATTTGAGAGTTTTTTTAGACGGGAGAGCCGACCTTTGGTTTTATAGGGATGATAAGATTCAATTGATTATTATTCTTACGATCAACATAATTTTCATCCTCTAAAATATTCTAATTTTTACATTTCGAGATGATTTATGTATAGGCTTAAAATAGATTATATGAAATCAAATCACCTTTCAGATTATTTCATTTACCATTACAAAAAGATTGATTCATGGTTTTAAAGGAAAAGAGTAAAATATTGAAAATTTATTCAACCTCTCTCTTTAGATATAAAAAAATCATCTGGCGCTGATTTTGTTGTTGACACACATTAATATGTTATAATACCTTGAAAAATGTTGGCGTTCAGTCAACTGAAATATTGGTAAAATAAATTATATTTTGATCCAATATATGCCTTTTTAATTGAAGATTTAGTTATGAATTGCTTTATTTTCAAAAAGATATGAAAAAATTAAATATTATTTTAAAAATAATATGGACCCTTATATATATATATAAGAGGAAGAATATTAATGATATTATTATTTAAAGCATTTTTAGGTTATAGTATTCCAGAATATGTTTCGTGCTCAATGGTTTTATTTCCTTTATATAAATATTTATTAAATGGATCGTTTAGTTATTCCTTTTTTTTTTCACGTTATAAAAGGCTATTTTATGGAAAATTTACTATGAAATATGAACAATATTGTCTCTAGTTTTATGAAATATTATATATATATTATATTTAAAAAAGATAAGATTTCTGTTGTTTTGGATCACCTTGATGATAAATGCTATGTTGATGCAGTCGTGGTTGAATAATAATCTTGAAAAATATAAAGTCTTGATCAGAGATTCCTTTATTTGAGCCAAGAAATATATACAAAACATAATTTGAGTAAGTACTGCCTGGCTTAAGGCGTAAGAATAAAAGAAAATGAAAAGCTTATTTACATAATGTACAAATGTTTTTAGCTGGCCAACGGGAAAGAACAACGAGTTTTTATATGCAAAGCGCGACCTCTGGCGGTCGATTCAACAGAATATTTGATTCCATGATACATAATTCTAAACAAAATATTATTTTAATATAACAATTTTAAATAAAATATTTTAATTTAAAATATGTATGTTTTAAGAGAAAGAGAAATACAATACAATTGATCTTGGCCAAAAGACCATAAATAAAGAAATATATATCATAATGCATAAAATATATCAGAGGATTAAATTAAAGGAATTACTTAAATTCTAATTATGAAATTTAAGGAAGAAATATTCTTCTAAAGGTATTAAAACAGTGTCACCAAATAGCTTATTAATTACATTCAGGAATTGGTGTGGCAGCAACATTTTAAAATTAATTTACCTTAGCTCAAAGTAAATTTTAATTGAATTAAACTTAAGAAAAAAAGTTGTTTATTATATTAGAGAAGTATCTGATACAATTCTTATTTGAATTTTGTAGATTAAATTGACTTTTTATGCTAATTGGGTTTGGATATTTAATCCTCAAAAATATTTGCCGAAATTCAAAAAGGCATTTGAGCCTCGAACGCATAAATACGAGATATTATAAACAGATATTATAAACGTAGATATTATAAACTCGTAGAAATTATAAACAGATAATTTTGCTGATGGTTAACCCTATCTCTTTTAAGTACTTGCAAAACATTTATGAACAAAATGGACAGTAGAGTTATGGGAAAAATACATCTCAAATTGTTAATAGGAAACGATAACTCAATATATTTTATGAATCACTGAAATAGTATATTCGATGTTATAAAGACTTCCTGAACAAATCAAAATCATTCTTTATAAATCAGCAATAATATAAACAATATATTTTTTCATCGCAGTAGGGGCAGTGGAGGATTGTATTATGTATAAAAGAAACTTTCGTGCTTTTAATTCTTTTCATTTTATATGTATACAGCAATAAAATATTGGAACACTTTACAGAACACCTTTCCACACAGGACCATGCCTCAATTTCAAATTACTTGGCCCAATAAAGAAAAAAAAAACATAAAATAATCGTTATAAAACATTATAAAATATAATTTCACCTTACATTTATTCTCAAAATATAGATAATATATGGAAAAAAGAAGAATATTATTCAAGGAATTGCAATATAATGAATATATATAAATTAATTCGTATTAGTAAACAGTTTGTATGATCAGGATTATCATGCTGAATGAGATAAATATAAAAACAGAAAATACAGACGTGAACATAGCTAAGATATTCCTGAATATTGCGTTCTCCAAATTCTTCTTTCGGGCTTAAATAGGCAGGAATCGTCACTAAAGGTATTTCAATCAATAGAAGTTAATGTTTCTTCAATATCACCTAATCAAAAATGGAAGTAGATAAGAATAATAAGATAAGAAATGTTAGGCAAAGTATAAAAAATATTATTTGCGCGTTATGAAAATTGTTTATAGACAGATTGTGCTGTAGTTCTTCATGTTTGAAAAACGGACAAGGAAAAATTTAATATATGGTTGTTAAACTTCAGAGTTTTTCTCTATAACAAGAAACCGATATTTTGCTCTTAAAAAACTCCTCACTTACATACATATATGTTAGATCAATTGATATGACATGAATTTATTTCAAATGACTGAGATATTCTTTTTATTTTGTCTAATGTATTCACCTCGCCACAATTAAATTAACTGCGCTTCTGAATATGCCTTAAAGGATATATATGGTAATTTAAACCAAAAACCTTATATTGTATAATACTTATAACAAGAATTTCATGTTGTATAATTGAAACACATCTGTAAATGATTATACGCATTATTGACATGTGTCATTACATCATCATATGTAATGTACTTTGTACAAACTGAGGATAAATAAATAAAACTCTGTAATAGATTAAGAGTTGAGCTGAAGCAAGAGATAGAAGTCAAAAACGTCTAAAATCGAGATAGATGGAAGTCCCACAACAACATCTAAAGATAGGTAGGAAACTGTCAGGATGACGCCAATGTACAA